GGATGAATCAGTAGAACAACAGGCAGGACATGTACAGGCCAACTGACAGGTCACCGAGCGTTCAGTGTGTGAGCGGGCAGACAGTACTGCATGTCGTGGAGCAGGTGTGGTGCGATAAGAGCAAAGGGGGTGGACATGAGAGTGGGGGTTCAGGGCGGGAATGCAGGCAGCGCAGCGGTGGCGGTCAGCCAGCGCTGGTGACAGGCGGCAGCAAAGGCGGCGAGGCGGCACGTTTTCTGGCGGAGGAAGCGGTGGGGAGGATGGGGCTCAGCAAACAGGTCAGGAAAGTTGAGGCGCAGCGGGGCGTAAAGGGGGCAGGTGAGCAGCATGTGGGGGGCATCTTCAATGCCGCCGTAGCAGTGGGGGCAGACTCGCTGCTCTCGGGGGCGCCGCGTCCAGCGGCCGGTCTCTTCCGCGCCCCAATGCGACCCGGTGCGCAGCTGCGCCAGCGCCTCGCGGTCCTGCCGACGCCGTACTGCATCCAGGTAGGTCTCGCGCTGCCCAAACATGGCGGGCGCCAGGTTGAGGGCGCCCACCACGTTGTGCACATAGTGCTCCAGCCGGCTGGCGCCGCCCTTGGCCAGCGCCTCCTGGAGCTGCGCCAGCTGGCGGCGCTGCGCAGCTTCCCCCAGCTCGCCGAGGTCAACAGGTGCTGGCTGCTGCAGGTCCAGCTGCATGCCGACCGCTGCGAGACCGGCCGCCAGCTGGGCAGCCCAGGACTGCTGTTCCAGGGGGTGGGCGCCATCTGCGAGCTGCACGCTGGACAACAGCGCTTGCTACAACAGGCTGCCGGGACGCTTCCTCCAGCGTCTTGTTCCAGAGTTTGGCTGCCCGCCGCTCCCTCGACAGATCGGCGTGGGAGTCGTCCTCGGGTGGCCGGTGCGGAGCGCTGCTGGTGGGAGAACTCTCGTGTGTTGCCGCTTCTGCTTTGCTCTCCTGCCGCTGCTTTGAGTGCTGGGTAAGCCGTGCTGCTGCAGCTGCTGTTGCTGCTTGCTTGTGCTTGTGTGGGCTTACAGTCTGGTTTCAGCAAGACAGTCTGGTTTCAGCTCCTGCCTGCCCTGCCATCCCCACAGCGCACAACTGCGCCTGTGTCGCAAGTTCCTTTGCGGATATGCAGACTGTAAACACAAAAAGCCATAGCCTCCGAGCACTTGGGAAGCGGTAGGACCACGTTGCGTGATGCTGGCAACATGCCAGCAGGCGCCTGCACTGCCCGCCGTGTGTCTTGTTGCCACCAGCATGCCTTGTCGTTGCCTGCCGCTGCCAGCCAGGTGGCAGGGAGGCGGAGGAGGATGGCTGGGCGCACCGCGATCATCAGATGATCCCATGATGAAGCCTTTGGCAGGACCTAGGGCGCACCGGCTGCTGCTGCGCTCAGATGGCGGTAGCAGGAGCAGCAGCAGTGGGGGAGGCGGAGGCAGAGCGGGTGTGGTGCGGCTGGCCAAGTGGCACGCGCCAGAGGAGCCTGCTGTCATCCGCTTTGAGATTCGCTCTGGGCATCCTGCTGTCCTAGACTGTGGCAATTGCATTCACATATGAATGAAGCGGGGCTATATATATACAACGACATTTGTGAAAAGAGCAAGAGTAAAACAAAAGTGTCCAGTCAACCCCAAAGCACACGGCCCAGAATTTTCCAAACCAGCGGGTAGGGCCGATGTATGCGGGTGTGCTGCTGGGCACGGCGCAGCACCAGCGCATCAGCGCGCAGGCGCTGGGCATCTGCAGCTGGCAGGCAGCGCATCAGCTTGCCAGCCTGCTCAGGGGAGTGGGCCAGCGCAGCGGGCAGGGCCCGCCCCTGGCCTGGGCAGGGGTGAGGGATGCGCGCCAGCACCTCGGCAGAGATGGGCATGTGAGCAATTGCATAGTCAGCATACAGGGGAGCTGCCGCGCGGGGGCCTTTTCCAGAGCATCCAGAACAGCTGGCCCAGGCATGACGGCAAGAAGGAGGCGCGCTTCCAGAAAAGGTGCAGAGTGAGGGATTCGTTAGGTGATGTGGCTTCAACAAAGCCAGGCTTCTGCAGACCCCTCGCATCCAACGCAGCATGACTGCATACTGAGATGCTCACTGCAGCAGCCCTGTCCATCGCGGCAGCTCTCGTTGGGTGTGCAACGGCACGCCTGCATCCAGCGCCGTCTTCACTGCAGGCAGAGGGTCAACACTACCACAAGCAGCGCATCGACAAGTTGAGAGGGATTGTTATCATAACCAACACTACGTTGGCTCACTCTTCAGCATGTCTTCTGCCAGGCGGGCCTCCGCTTCCGAGCGCAGGAATGGATCTCATGCTGCTCTCCGCCATGAGGGAACATCAACTGCAGGCGGGGGCGTCGGGAAGAGGGGCGGGTTGCCGGATCCGGAGCGGCAGCAACCCGCCCACACCAGTGCACCAGAGGGCACCCAAAAACACCAGCCACCCAGGTGCACCTGCTGCTGATTGATGATGTATCATCATCATTATCATCATCATCCTCACTGCTGCTACTTTCCGCGTATGGCCCTCTAATCCATAATGCCTTCCACTTAAGCTGAGCATCTCACTGCTTTTGCGAGAGCAGAATGTGCAGCCAATTGAAAAGAGAGTGCCAATGAAACTCCTGGTCAAGTGGAAAGGAATGGCAAAACATGCAGTCGCGGGCGGGTTGGCGGCACTTACTCGTGTACAACGGGCACTGTGGCAGCGCTGGCTGCGGTGGGCAACTTGAAAACTTCCAAGAACAGGACGTCGGCAAAGCAAGATGGCGGTGTATGCAGCAAGCGCTGCAATCCAGCAGCCACTGACAGCCATCAGTGGCGGTCGTGGGCGGCGGTCGTGGGCGGCCCAGTGGCTGCCGACTTGCGCCAGTCGGCATGCAGCTTGACATTCAGCAGCCATCGCCTTTGGACCTGGGCGAGCTTGGCGACGCTGTCCAGGGGCGTCAGCTGGCGCAACTCCAGGCGCCGGTGGCGAATTCGAAGGGCGGCGCCAGCCTGCTGGCGCACTATGTGAACAATGTGGTGGGTGCCCGCATGTTTGGACTGCGGGAGCCCTTTCCGAACGCGGTGCGGCCGCGGAAGGCCTGCGAGCGGCGCACACTGGGCGCGGAAAAGACCGGCTGCTTCTGGAGTTAGTCCCATGCAAAACAGAGGCCCCAGGCAGCTGGGCTTGAAGAAGCACGTTCAACACACACTCGGACATTTCCGTAACACATCTCCTGATACTGTGCCATCTCGCCCGAGACGCATTTAAAAAACTAGTAAAACACCACAACATAATAATGGTGCACAGATGGGTGGAGGGTGCATCAGTAGATGCAGCTGGCTCACAAGCACATAGCGATGGCTGACGGGAAATCATCTACGCATCCAGCAAGGCTGCGCGCACAAACCCACGGCGGCCTTGCTTGTATAGGTTATATGCATGCTTTATGCGCTCCCTTGTTGGCTGGTGCGCTGGCTGAAAGCCATCAACTGGGCCTCGTGGATCATTTCTCCCGAGCAGGGCGCTGCTCCTCGGGGGCCCCGGCACGATCAGGCCAGCACTAGCCCTGCAAAACAGCGACATATGAGCGTGACATGGGGTCTATATGCCTCAATTCTGCAGCGTTCTCGCTCAAACAAGTCCCCACCCCTTCGTTATGATGTCTGGCACCCCAGCAAAGCGGCGGCCAGGGCATTCATACGCTTTGAGTGAACATCCCTGGGCTGGTAGCCACGGGCCTGGGGTGTCACGGTGTCACGCTGGGTGACAGGAGCCCTCCCGCGCCCTGCCTGGCTCGCGTGCTGCGCCCAAGTCACCTCCTGGCTTGCAATTGGACCTGTTTAGCCACTGCAAGGCCTCCACACGGTCCATGTGGTGGCGTGGTGGGGGCCGTGGTGGCCATTCCTGGCCATGCTGGCAAGTTGCTGTGCAAGTGCTGCCACAGGCCTGGTGCTTCCTCATACGGACCCAGGGAACATCAGTGATGCCGTCTGAGGCGGCAGGAGGGGCGCAGGCGGTAGCAGGATGCTTGGCTGGGGGGCCGCTGTCAACGGCCAGCCGGCGCCGCCGCCCTCGTGCCGCCCCACCCTGGCCTTCACCCAGCTGCACCCCCACAATCCCCTTTTTTGTTGGCCCAAGTGTTCCATTGGTGCTGACAGGATGTCAGGGAAGCAGTGGGGTGGTTGATGGCGGTCAAATGTTGCGTCTTGGGGTGCTCATTGCCGCCCACGGGCGGGGAGGCGTGTGTGGGCACTCGCGGCGCATGCCATGGAGTGTGTCATTGGTTTCCCTGGGGATTACCTCCCCACAGACCCCTCACTGCCATTATTAGTAACTTTGGTACCTCCTGGAAGCAAGAGAGGGCGCTCAACCTGCCCTGGTAGAGGCTGCCTGCCATGAGCGCCGCTGCGCCGTCGCCCCCCAAAGTGCCGCGTCATTCCACACACATTTCCCCGAATGGAATGCACACTGGGCCTCCTCTTGCCTTCTATTACGCTTCATAAACACATTGAAGCGCTGCTGATGCCCTTCCACAAGTCTCCGTGCCACCCACCCATAGCCATTGCACCGCTGCCATGTGTGACGCCCCGCCCCTGCAGCGGCACATGGCAGGCTGCTGACCTGTGCCAGCAGCCGTTGCAGCGCGGCGCCGCCCTGCCAGAGTCGTCTACACTGCTAATGAACATGTGGGCACGCTTGCATTGCCAAAAGGCCGCGGCTGCCGCCATGCCGCGAAAGAGATGGCGCGAGCCGGCCGGCGCAGGGCCTGCTGTTGCTCTCAAACAACTCTCCGTATGCTATAAGGTGGGAGAGGAAGCTTAAAACGCGAAAAACGATGCAGACATGGCTGAGATCAGGCCACATGTCGTTTCCCTGCTGGACTGATCGTGCCGGGGCCCTCGGAGAGCCAATGCTTCAGGGTGGCCGCGACAGCCTCCACCCCAGGTAGGCCTCCCGATCACCGGTCCCCTCCTGGCGGGGGTCATGCATCCCCCACCCATCATGCATTTCAGGCTTCATCTCCCTCAAACCTCCACCATTTTCCCTCTCGTTTGTCGTGATCGACTCCGGGTAGCCCAAATGCCATTCTAGCGGGGTCTATGGGCCGCGACGAAGCGACCAACTCTGGTGGCAAAGGCAGCAGTCTCGGCGTGTCTGCCAAACGCCTGAAAGGCGGCACCAGCAAGTCCCAACACAAGCATGTTACAGCTCTACTGCAAAACTGGGACAGAGTCACTCTTTAGGCCGCGGCTAAGAAAGGCCTTCTTTGAAGGCGCTGGAGCTAGTGTCTAAACCCTCCGAGAGGGCACAGGTTCGATTCCTCCCATGTCGAAACTTTGTGAGGACAAACGCGGCATAGCTGACCGGCTCAGCGCCAATCCAAGCCAATTCCTTCGGGAACGCCTAATAGAATCGCCAAGGCTTCGGCACAGGCCTCCCCGGGACCCATTCACTACTAGTGGGGGGTACTGCACTTGGCGCGTCGGGCAGATCAAATAATGGTCTAAAGCTAGACGTTAAAACCGGGAAGTGAAGCTTGTGGAGGCTCTTCCCCACCTTTAAGGCGCTGGAGCTAGTGTCTAAACCCTCCGAGAGGGCACAGGTTCGATTCCTCCCATGTCGAAACTTTGTGAGGACAAACGCGGCATAGCTGACCGGCTCAGCGCCAATCCAAGCCAATTCCTTCGGGAACGCCTAATAGAATCGCCAAGGCTTCGGCACAGGCCTCCCCGGGACCCATTCACTACTAGTGGGGGGTACTGCACTTGGCGCGTCGGGCAGATCAAATAATGGTCTAAAGCTAGACGTTAAAACCGGGAAGTGAAGCTTGTGGAGGCTCTTCCCCACCTTTACCTTTACCTTTACCTAGAGTCACCAAGGCGCATCCTGACCTGCGGGGCGTTCTGCTGTTACAGTCTGCATACTCCAACAGCAATGGATGGGCTAGAACGCACAATCTTGCCGGCATGGGCCCACTGCTGAAGGCTCTCTTGGTGGAGATAGTGGCATCCGCCGGCGGGCGGCGGGTGACGCCACGCATGGTTGCCGACATTGCGGAGGGGGCGACGGCGGAGAACTTGCAGTTCCTTTTGCGAGTTCTGGAGTTTTGTACAGCTGCCGAAGTCGTGGGGGGGAAGCATGTTGAGATGATGATGAATGCTGTCACGGGCTGCAAGCTCGACGCCCCGCCAGGTGCGCCTGGTGGCCACGCTCAGCCAGCCAGTCTCTCCATGCCTTGGTCCTGCAGGCTCTGCCTGCCTTGCCTGCCTGCCTGCCTGCCTGCTCTGCCTCCCTTCATCAGTTCCTCGGCTGCCTGCTGCAGGCTTGGCAAACACCGCGTTCAAGTTTGGTAACAAGATGGGCGCGACATCCACCTTGCAGCGCACGGCAACCGGGGTGACAGATCCAGTTGAGGAGCCTGGCTCCCCTGAGCGTGATGCTGGCGGGGATGAGGGTCAGCCGGAGGTCACTTCACCGCATCGTATGGCCCAAACAGCAGCGGCGACTATTACCATGCGCACAGCGGCAGCTGAAGCCACGGCTGGCGGCGGCGGGGAACCCGGGGCAACAAAGCAGGTGCGCTGGCTGGTCAGGCGTTCTAAATCTGGTGGGGCATATCCCCGCTGCTACTGCTGCTACGTTGAGGAGCCTCACCCACAGCGTGCCAACCATGGCTGTACAGGCGGGCGCGCGCACGCAAACGGGTGCCGCCGCAGGCGAGGCAAGCAGTGGCAGCGATGTCGAGCGTGGCGGCAAG